GGAGCCCGGGAGCAGATCCTGGGCGCCTCGCTGCGCCGTCCCGGGCACAGGCCGCGCCGGGCAGGCGGCGGGGGCCTGGCCCAAGCTTGGCACTCCACTCTCATGCACCCACCCGGAGCGCAGAGCCCGGCCTGGGGGAGGGGAAGGGCGGGCCTCAGGGTGTTGGCGGGGGCGACAGGGATGCCACGCAAGGGGGCCAGGGCGCCTCCTGCAGCTCCGGGGCGCGGCCTCACCTGGGCTCCCGAGGGCCCGCGAGCTTCCTGGCTGCCCGAAACACATCAGTGCTCCGCTGTTTTCTCCTCTCTCCTCGTCTGGAGCGAAATCATTTTGTTTTACACCAGGGTCCAAAGAGGCGCTCACTACATAGGATACGTGCGTGGCAGAAATCCATCCCCCACCCCACCCCACCCCAGGAAGGGGGACTCGGCCTCAAATTCTATTCCTTCTTGTGTTCCCAGAAAAATCTTGCTTACGTTGTTAGGCCCGGAATCGCTTTTTTTTTTTTTTTTTTCTCCTTCTACTTCTTTTTGTAAGTGGTTTCAGGAAGAGAAGAAAGGAAGGAAGGAAAGTTTTGGGTTTGCAAATGCAGGCAGCAGGGATCAGAAGGAGGAAAACGAGGGGTAAATGGGGATACTGATTTATTCCGAGTCTTTCTCCCACTTTTTCATAAAACGATGTCGGTGCTCAGTCGAACGGCAGAGGCCAGCACTTTCCGAAGGGCCTAGTGTCACACCAGTACTCCCGAAGGGGGTGAATTCTACGACTGGGCGGTGCCACAGCCCTGGGCTCCCAAGCCACTGCCTGCGCGGAGGAGTAGATTGTGTGCAAACCTCTGCCTCAGCCAGTCTCAACAGAGCTCGGGGACAGAGGCTTTGTTTGTTCAAACCTGCCAGAAAGCTTCTGTCTTTCCTGGAAGCCGCGGGAGAAGCAACCACAAAGCCAGCGGTACTTCAGCCATGCGTCTCTTGCTCTTCGGCTAGGCGGCTAGGCGCAAGGTATTGGTTCCCTCAAGGCAGGGCGCCTGGCGACATTCATTTGTTTAACTCTCCCCGACACCTCCGCCCCACCCCCATTTCTGCCGCATTTGCAGCTCGGGCCGGAACTTGGGCTTCCGGGTTCTCCGGGTCCTTTCCTCCTCCACTTGCCTGCAAATTCAGGCGGCAGGGAGCTCCCGAACTGGAGCTTGGTTTGCCAGTGCTTGCACACGAACGTGCGTTCGCGCCTTCCCACGGCTCCACCAGGAATCGCAACCACCGATCCGAGACCCTCGCGGGTCTTTCCAGGCCAAGCGCTTGCCCTCTGCTCGGCGGAGCCGGACCTCTGCTACCCGCAGCAGCTGCGCACATTCCGAAGCTGCGGCGCTCCAGGGCGCGATTGCTGGGGAGACTTCAGATCCCGGTTGGCCTGGACGGATCCTTCCGCGCTGGCCCCTTGGTTCAGGCTTGCGAAGTCGGGCGGCCGGGTGGGGGTGGTCTGGGGAGGCCGGTAGACCTAACCGTTCAGTCTGGACTGAGGCACCAGCTACACGCGATGAGGTCTCTGGGGGCACCGCTGGAGCAGCATACTAAAATATTATTGCTGGCGAACACATCGGAGGGATCGGAATGGCTTAGCAAAGATTTGAAGAAAGCTGCTCAGTGTTTGCGGGGTGGGGGTGGGGTAGAGGGGAAAAATAGCCTTCGAAGCGAATCATTGTCTAGAATACCTTTTCCTGCAGCAGGATCCCACACTGCGCACGAAGCGTCTTACATTATTTCATCGCCCTGGCCTGTGCACAAAACCTACTTTGGGAAACTGTTTGGGCCAGGTTGGGGTGTGCGCGCGGTGCACGGCTAGGAGTGGGTGGTGATGACAGACACGTTTGGCTGGAAAGGCAGCTTCACATCGAGCAGATGTGAGCCCTTTCCTCAACTCTCTATTCAGGCCAGAGGTGCTTCTGCCTGAATGGATAAAACGCAGGAAAACAACCCGAATGGATCAGGATTTTCGAGAATGGGAACTCGACTAAGATGGAGTCACGGTCGCTCCTCCCCCGTCACCCCCTCCTCCTGGCTGGAGAGGGGGAGGGGCGCGGGCGTGCAGGAGGGGGCTTGGGGCGCGGGGCCGCTTTGAGCCGGGGAGGAGGCTCCCCGACCCGAGGCTCGCAGGAAAAGGGATTTCTGAAATACTTTTACGGTGCTTTTGCAGGAAATGAAAGATTGGGGGGGCGGGCGTGAGTTTGGGGCGCGCTGCACGCTCACTAACGTCTCTGCGTTGCCTCTGCCAGGCGAGAAGCCCTTCAGGTGTGAGTTCGAGGGCTGCGAGCGGCGCTTCGCCAACAGCAGCGACCGCAAGAAGCATTCGCACGTGCACACGAGCGACAAGCCATACACGTGCAAGGTGCGCGGCTGCGACAAGTGCTACACGCACCCCAGCTCCCTGCGTAAGCACATGAAGGTGCACGGTCGCTCGCCGCCGCCCAGCTCTGGCTATGACTCGGCTACACCCTCTGCCCTCTTGTCCCCCTCGTCCGACTGCGGCCACGAGCCCCCGATGGCCTCCTCAGGGGCGGTGGTGGTGCGTGGCACGGACCTGAGCGAATGGTACGTGTCTCAGAGAGTGGACCCCGCCGTGGCTGCCCCTGCTCCCTCCCCCCCCCCGTTCCGCTCCACCTCCTGGCCCAGCCACTTCCACCTCCGCCGCCAATATTAGGGCTGCTTCTGTGATTGCTGCTTCTGCAGTGGTACACCGCCTTCGATCCTAAGCTGGGTTACTGAGGCTTGAAGAGGAATAAGGCAAGGGAGGGAAAGAGGGAGGAAGGAAGGGAGAGGAGGAGGGAGGGAAGAAGAGAGAAACTAAGGGAAGGAAGGAAGGAAGGAAAGAAGGAAGGAAGGCAGGCTGGCCACCACTAAAGCTTGCTAGAGGTCATCCATAACGCTGAGATCATGCTCATTACTTTAAACCAGGTCCCATATTTATTCTACAGTCACACCTTACACCACCACTCCTGTCCTGACCGCTACTCGCGCCCTCATGGCTGACGAACCTGAAATCAGCGTTGGGGATAAAGAAAGAGACGGGCAGATTTTGAACAAAGTACATACTAGGATGTTTGTGCAGTTCTGGCAATTTTAGGTGGCATAAGTAAAGCCGCTAAGTCCTAGAAGGGTTCACAGGATGGGCAATGTTTTTATTGCCTTGGGGTTGCTCCCCTTTGCTCCTAGTCAGACCTGAAAGGGGGCAGACAGAATTCCACTCATTTCTTACCTCTCATTTCTTTTCTGTTTTGCTTTCCCCACACTTTCTTCATCCTCCAATATCCTTTTCAAAGAACAACCAAGTACCAGAGTTTCTGATCAGTTTTGTAAAGGAGATCACAGGGTGTTCACATACTTCCACAAGCAAGATTGGCTTTCGTATACAGATACATCTGTCTGCCTATCTGTATGTCCACAGACCTGACATACATACTATATGTGAGGTAGGGAGTGAGTCCAGAACAACAGGAAATATAGACAAAAGAGCACTTCAGTATGCAATGCTGTGAGGCCTCTGGAGGTCCCTTCCCTACCCCCACCCGAGTCCAGACACTGCCTGTAAAGTTTTGCAGGTACTTGGGCTGAGAGTGTGGAGCTCACTGATGACATCACAGAGTCCAGGCCTGCAAAGCCAAAGTGCCAGGTGTTGGCAAGTGTCTGGGTGAATGTGACAGTGTCTGTTAAAAGTCAAACAGTATAATTCAAGTTACTTAAGAGGCTAAGGCAGGAAGATCAAAAGTTCAAGGTCAGCCTGGACAACTTGGAGAGACTCTGCCTAAATAAATAAATAAGACTAGGGAGGTAACTGAGTGCTAGAATGCTTGCCTTCTATGTGCAAATCTCTGGGTTCAATCCACAGTCCTTAAAAAAAATTGTTTGACTTATGTTGAAGGGGATAAGAAAAAAAGCTATAATAATAAGTGTTGTGAAGACAATACTAGACCCGGTGGGGCTAGACTGAATGTGTATTTCATATGCTGAGTATGAAATCGCCAGCAAAAAGAACCAGATGTTGTGGGTGGGGAACAGGAAGGCTTTTGCAATCACTGCCAAAGGGAAATCAAAAAACCCAGACTTCTTTCTGAGGCTGCCACTCTCCACTTGGGAGGGTGAGGCTGCCCCAGAAATCCCAGTTAAGATGTGAAGAAGAAAAAATACAAAAGAGGAAGAAGAAAAAAAGAAACCTTTGATAGACCCATCCCAATTCCCTAAGAATTTGGAAATAAGTGTAATTAGGAGGTTTAATGTTCTCTGTTAGGGGAACCCCCTAAGGAGCTCCATGTTAAAAGCCCAGTTCCAAAGTTGGGGATGTAGCTCGGTGGTAGAGCACTTACCCAACATTCTTAGGGCTGTTAGTTCATCCCCCAACACCACAAAACCAAATAAAAGCTGGAGTATACAAGTCTGGCTCTGCCAGTCTGCTGGACTGTCTTCTATTCTTTCCTCTTCAGACTCCATGGGACAATTATCACTCCGAGCCTCCACCCCCACAACTTTCATTATACAAAATAACAAAAGAACTAAGTGGAATAGGACAGCTTTTTTATTACCACTAATAAAACCCGGAATTTTCCATGTACATCTCTGATGAATCTGTGTTTGAGAAAGGGAGAATGCAATCCCCTCCTCGACCCCACTACAATAGCTCGCAGAGGCTTCCCCGGGCCGAGTGCAGCAGCGTGGAGAGCAAAATCTCCTTCCCATAGCGGAAACACTAGCCCCACAGCCAAGGTGCAGGGGGCATCTACCGAACTTGCCTCGGCAGATGTTTGGAAAGTGTTCCTCTTCCAATCAGAGTGCTTGCTCTTCTGTGTCTAGGCACCGCGTTTTGTTTCCCACCCCAACCCCAAATAATGAAATGAAATAAAAAATGTTTAGTCGATTACTAATCGCTTTTAATTTTTCATTTGCTTGTTACAGATGTCCACCGCGTCGTTCGCAAGGTAATCTAGCCCTGTGCAGCTGAGCTCCCGCATCTCGTGCCTACGACATCAAAGGGCCCGCACACAAAGCAGTGTTTCTTCGCCACGGTGCATCTTCATGGTAAGTTAGGATTTCTATGGCAATGGGCAAGTCGCACTGAAATCCTGAAAGGCCGAGCCTGGAGCCCGTCCAGGCTTTTCATTAAGGACATAATATTTACGTCTAACAGGCCTTTTTTCTTGTGTATACAAGTATATATTTTTGTTTGACGCGGACTAAATCATTTTCATTTAATTTCCGGTAAACAAAACCCACGCGAATGGGCACTTGTTCCCGATCATAATAAAAATGGATAATAATGTGGAAGAAGAAAAGGGCCGCTTGAATCGCTGCACAGCCCTCTTTGTTTCTGCTTTCTGCGGTGATCAGAGGGCGCGTTTGGGTTTGATGGCGAGTTTCTAAAGGCGAGGAAATGGTTTGTAAGAGGGGAAAGAAAAGGAGAAAGGTCTAATCAAGCTCGGGTTGTTCAAAGAGTCGGGTTTTGGGGTTGAAAGTGTGAGTTTGACGGTGCATCAGCATGCCGCGTTAGGCTCGCCATGGAAATGCGCGCGGGGAGCGGTCCCTTCAAAGGCGGCACACTTCACTGCAGACACTCTATTAAGATACATTTGCGCTGACCTTTGCTTTCACGCCATTTAATACTGTCACTGTGCTCTTCAGTATATACTTCCTCTCTAGGACCTGCCTCGCCCGCGTTTAGGGGTTCACCCTGCACCCTGTTGCAGGGGACTTTGTCGCCTGGGACGCTTTCAGGAAAAAAGAGGAGCTGGACTCTGTGCATCTTGACTGCTCCAAAAAGAGGCTCCAGGGTCAGGAGTAAATGACTTCAGGGCACCATCCGAAGCTTAGCCAGTGTACCACAGCCCGAGCTCACTTTTGTGCAAAATGTCCCTCAGAATCTTGAGCAGGATGTAGGTTTGAATTTGATTGTGGGGAAGAGGGCCATCCTGAGCAAGTTTGAAGGAGTTTAGAGGATGCCCTAGGGACATTTCCACTCTGGCCCTCAGCTCTGTCCTTCTGCCACTCCATCCTAGAAGTTTCTTGCAGGCCCCTAAACACGTTTCTCCCCAGGTTAGTGGTGTCGTATCCTTAGGCCTTGGCTGGTCCTGGGCATAAACTCAAAAGCCCAAGGCCAAGGGGATGGGGAAGATGGCAGGAAAGTTAGAAGTCCATGTTCTCTTAATTGTCTTGTTGTTTATTTTATCCAAGTACCCCAGTGAATAGGGGAAAAATAAACACAGTGGAAAAAAAATCAAACAGTGGAGTCTTCTTTAGTGCCAGTCCTTGTGGTTGAATAAAAAGGATGGTTCGCTTTCTATTGAGCTGAGAAATCTTTGAAGTGGGAGTTATTATCTGAGACATTCCTTCCTGTTGTCCTAACAACGCTGATGAAACGTAAAAGGTTCTTTGTCAGCGATTTGTTCTCCTCTCTGTCAAACTCCCTCTGCCCCGTTAGTTTCAAACCGTTTCTAAAGAGATAAAATCAAACTTCTTTTTAAAAAATATCTACACACCCTACACCAATAGACAACTTCAGGGATAAGTCTTGCTAAGGGAAAAACAAAAGCACTGCCTAACCCTCAGGGTCAGGACCTGGTGAAGTGTGCAGATGTTGGGGGGGTGTGCGGCACTTTGCACCAGTTGTGATACTTGGGGAAAAGAATGCAGAGAGAGTGCAGGCAGAGGGTATGTTCCCCAAGCCCACACTTGTGTGCCTCCTGCTTACTGCTCTGACCTGCACTCCCTCAGCCCAGATTGGGTCGCCTGGATGAACTTCCTTTGGAGACACCTCAGGCTCTGAATATTCTTGCTTGGGATTCTAGGAAGCTAAGGTTTTAATCAAACAATTTTTACCATCTCTTGTTCCTTCAAAGGCACCTCTGCTAAAAATAGGTCCACTGTGGTTTCTTCCCACTAGCTGCACTTAGCAAATTGCTTCTGCCTTGAACCAAAAGGACAGTGGCTTGAGGGAGAGAGAGATTTTAACAATTTTTGGCTTTCTCCACAATCTTGACAACTGGAGCTCTCAGAAGGTTTGTGCTACAGGGTAGTGACCAAAAAGTGCATGCCAACAACCATTCTCCCTTTGTCAACCCGTGCAGTTCTACACTTTCTGTTGTGCCCTGAAAGAAACTTTCACCCTTTGCAGATTTTCCCAACCTCCTGTTGTAGATTTAAAGGTGGTTTAAATAAACACCCCACCCTATGTGTGCTGACTAAATGATTTGTAAAGAACTTTCCCCAAGCTGTAACCCATGCTGTTATTATAGTTGCTGCAAAATGTTGTCTTTTATATTGATTTTATTTGTTTACTGGAGGTCTCCATATGTTTGTTTATATCGCTAATTTATGAGAAAATGTAATGATTGCAATGAATGTGAGTTATACAGACAGGCAAACATTTTGTAATCGTAATTCACACACATATGCAAAAGACTAAGTGAAACCTTAGACTGTTTGGTACCTTCTCTACCCACACTGTTCGTGATTTATCATCTGTCCCCTTAGTAACAGTTAAATTATGAACTAACTGGAAAGAAAAAATGTTGTTATGTATTTGACTGAAAGTGATTGTTGAAGGAAAAAGGTGAAAGTCTAGGCTTCATCTTCTTGGAATATGTAAATGTAAATGAAATAAAAACCTGTGACTCTTTTTCCCTCCAAAGGACTTTGTGTACATGGACCTGCATTTCGCTGTTTTATTTGGAAATAAATGATGTGTTTGCTTTCTCTTTTGAATTGCTGTGTACTGTTATTGCTTCATCATCCTGAGAGAGATAGGAGGCCCTTCCTTGCTCAGCCTGCAGTCCTCTCTCTTGTCCTCACTGTTGGATAGACACATCTTTGGGACTTAGTTCTTGGAGACAGCCAAATAAAGGGTCCCCTCAAACTGGCCCTAGTGAGAGAGAACACAGTCACCCCAACTTCACCCAAATGACATAGACATCACTAACCAGTTAACCAACGTTATAGGAAGGAAAATGGTAATGTTCTTCTCTCACATCTGCAGGAAAGGCTGCCTTCCCACGGGTCTGGCCATTCCTGCATCCTCTTACAGACCAGGTCTGAATTCCCAGAGAAAAGTTTAGTAGCTGGCAGGAGTCAAAACAAGGAAACAAGAAAGAGACTAGTGCTCCTAGGCCTGCCTGAACTCTGATGGAGTGCCTCAGGCACAGCTGCCCACAGGGGTCTCTCTGACTAGATCTTATACTATAACCCTAAAGGCTCTTCCAACCTCCATGGACGCCAGACCCTTAAGGCAAAGGCCAGAGTTCCTTGGACTCCACTTGGGATCTTTGGTGGGTTTTAGCATCTGATGCACATGCACCTTTGATCTGACCTTCTGTGGGGAACTTATTTCAAATGTATCAGAATCACCTGACTCAGCAGAGCTGTCCTCCCCGCCTCCACTGCAGTCATGGAGCCTGGGGACCCCAGAGCTGCTTCTTCCTGTGCACACCGGGCACCAGTGCCAAGCCTTGGAGCCACAAGCCTGGCTGTTTTGTTTCTGAGAAGCTGGTTCCAATAAGCCTGGCTCGGGTAGGGAGCTTTTCGGAGTGGGAGGAGGGTGGGAGTGGTAGATCTCATTAGAGGACTCCTTGGAGAACCAACTCAGGGGTCAAAGGCCGCAGTCCTGGAGATACGTGTCAGGGAAAGGACCCTAGACCACAAAGGCGCGAGAGCGAAGCACAGGTGTGAAAAGGACACCAGGAGGGGATAGCGAGGTGTGTGGAACTGAAGGGAACCCAGAGGGAAGTCTGTGGACTTCAGCTCTAGAGTTATCCCCTCCTCCTTCCCCTCAGGCTCTGGGAAAAGTCAGAAAGGCTTCTGTAGCTTTGGGCTCCAAGACCTTGCTTCTTTGTGGGAGAATACTCATTGCAGCCCTTTTCCTCCAGAAGTACTGGGAAGATGGGGCGTTGGGGAGGGAAGCCGGCCCTCCTAACCCGGGCTCTGTCGGGGCTTCTGGCTGCCTTCCACTTGAGCCTTCACTTCCCGCACAAAAAGCCCCTAGCCGGGAGGGCACGGCGCACAGGGCCCCCGAACACTGGACAGAGTCGGGAGGAAGGGGAAGTGTGGAAGGACCGACAGCCTCGGACAGCCACGCTGAGGTTGTGGAGAAAGGAAGGAATCGCCTTTGAATCTACGGAGTCCCCAGGAGGGCGTGGGGATCAAGGGAGTAGGGAGCGGGAAAAGAGGCCTTGCTGGGGGAACCACAGCTCCCGCCCACCCGAACGCAGACTTCCTTCCAGTCCTCACTCTTGGAGGGGGTGGCAGGACCAGAAGGGTGTAAGCTTTGACAGAGGACTGACTGGTCCCCACGTGTCCACGACAAGCCTCGCTTATTCTCTGGGGAAGTTACCCACCTCTCACCCGACAGGGCACACTAGCCTGCGCATTTTCGGGGCACCTTAGCTTGCCAACGTCAGCCCCCTCCGGCCCCCTTTCTTGCTATTACAAATCAGAGCACCAGGTGAAAAGGGTAGGGCCTTGACGGAAGGACTTTGAGTAGGAAGAGCCGGTTCTCTCCTGCGTGCACGTACTGACCCTCTGCCCCGAGATAAGTGATAGTCACTCCTTAATTCCGTTCCATCGAGTGCGGTAAGGAATTACAACGAATCTTCTTCCCAAGCTTTCTTTTTCATGCTGTATCATCTTTCATGCTGCATTATTTTTACCTTTACAGAAGATAATATTCTTCTTTCAAACGTTTAAAACTTACTTAAGTGCTAGCTGTTATTACTACTATCTGAGCCTCCCGTCAGTAACTCTCCACTGAACCAAATACGGTACCAAATATCCTACCCTCAAGCCTGCTCTGAAAAATGTGGTTTCCTCTGTCCGAAGCTACAGAGCAGGGTGCGCCTCCTCCAGGCAGCCCTGAGAATAGATGAGGGTCCAGGTGTTAGAGTGAGTTCATGCTTTTCTAAAAATTCTTAAGCTGGGTGCAGTCAGATGCTGAGGCAAAGATGTAATTTCTTTTTTAAAGGCCCAAGAAAAATGAGAAAGAACTGAGTTTATTTCAGAGTGGAATGAAGCTGAAGGAATCACTAGCTTTAATGTCACCCTTATGACTTGTTAAGAGTCTGGCATTGTAGTAAAGTCCATCGCCCAGCCAGCCCAGATGTTGATTTATTCTTGTCATAAGTTTTTGTACTTGACTTCAAGTCTCCTGTGGGGCTTCTCAAAATTCTGGTTAGAGTAGGGTGTGGTGGTGCATGCTTGTAATCCTAGCATTCTGAGATGCTGAGGCAGGAGTATTGCAAGTTTGAGTAACACCTGAACAATTTACATCCAGTCTCAAAATAAAAAATGAAAAAGATGGAGCTCCATGCAAAGACCCCGGGTTTAAACCCCAGTACTGAAAACCAACAACAAAATTATCCTGGCTGTTGGTTGGGGGCAGGGAGTGGGAAGTGACAGTGAGCAGCTGGGAAGCTGAGGGCTGTGCAGTTGAGGAGAGAAATCACCCAGAAAGACATTATTTCTAAGAAGTCATCAGGATCTTTCTTTCACAAGCAGAGTTTACTGGGGCTGGGGATTTAGCTCAGCGGCAAAAGCGCCTGTCTGGCAAGCTCAAGGTCGTGAGTTCAGTTCCCGGTACCGGAGAAAAACCAAAAAAAAAAAAAAAACAAAAACAAAAAACCAATCAGAGTTTACTTTTATTAAATTCCCATTCCAGAGAAAAATTGATATATCAAGTCAATAAATGATAGAGTATTGAGCACTCTCCATTTGGGATGACCTTCCTATCTGAGCATCAGGATAACCTTTCCTCCTAAATGTCTCTAATGAGGAAAATAAATGGGAGTTCGCAAGGAAAGTTATCGAGCTCCAACCCCAAGGTCATTTAGGAAAAAGGGAAAATTATAAGACAATTAAGGAGGTCTTGCTCTCTGAATGGTCCAATGCCTTTGCAAATATGCAAAGCAACTTCACAGAAAAGAAAGAAGAAGTACTGTCGGATACAGATTGAGCTGATGTAAATGTGGTCAGACAGAAGGACTTTGAAACTTGTCCCTCAGTTTTCCCCTTGCAGTGTGAATGTAGATTCTACACGAACCAAAATGTAGAGTGAGAACACTGATTGACGTAAAACAAGGTGAGCAAAGCTGCACATGGATCTGAGCCGCACAGTGGGTGCACAGGTTTGGGAATGTCTGCAGAGAAAATAAATCAGAATTGGGTAATTGCATGGATGTGCCAGGCAGTTGTGGAATAAGGGCAAAAAGGAGCAACAATAACCTTCCACAGACATCATCAGATGACTTATATGAACTCAGAATGATGATCCAGTTTTCTCTTGTCTGGGACAGTTTTCTCTTGTCTGGGACAGGCTGTCAAATTGGCCAGATGAGGAGGGTGTTCTTTGCCAAAACTAAAAAGATCCTGTGGAGAGCTCAAAGTGCTTTGCTTGTGGTATTGCAGCATCCCAGGCTCCTCAGTGTTCAGTGGAAGCTGTACTGGCTAAGGGTTTAAAAAGCTTTTGTCCCAGTGTACTGTTTAAAAGTATTTTGCCTAACATGTGAATATTTCTAAGCCATGAAAAATAGGTCTATGCCTCAGAAAGTTTGATTATTTCCTCTTAGAGAATTGACGCAGTGCCTAAGCATATTAAGAAATTTCTATTCACATTGCAACCACTTTCACCTTAGAAAGTGTAAATGTTTCAAATGTACCATAAACACTTTTCTTCATTTTCTGCCACTGCATTGAGTGATCAAAGAATGTGTGTGGAAATGGTTTCTATTGTCCAAAAACCTGCTAACTTTGAGAAAAAAAAAAAAAGGAAAGAAAACTGTTGTAGAAAAACAGTCTCCTTTAAGTGTGAAATATCATTTCATTGTAAAAAGTAAAAAAAAAAAAATAATAAAAGGAATGGTAATCCAACTTCCGGAAACTGTTCTGAATTATTTCACCAGACCTTTTTAAAAGGGGATTAGCAGGGCTTTGGGAGCAAAATCCTTCTGTTTTATTCAATCTCTGATTTTATGTTATAATTACTAGCTGTAAAGGCTCTGGAATTAGTATGCAGGCACTGTCAGGTTTCGATGCAGGTGCTATTCTAATGGTTCAGCTTTTTAATTAAGCAAAGAGGTAAGAAAATGGAATCATAAAAACACTTTTGTGAGAGCTGAGAACATTGCAGCAACTGCATGAATAAAGCCTTTATACCTTCCCCTGACAGGTCAGCTACTGAGGCGCTGACTTACGACCTTTTCAGGGCCAGACAACAGTTAGCAGCATTCTCACCTTGTCCCCATGGGACCTTTTCTTCTAGATCAGATCTTATGGAAATTGTCTTAAGTAGCTTGACTTCCACAAAAGGTACTGCAGTTAGAATGGATACATATCTGAATTGAAATGCCTGCTCCTGGTTTCCTACTACAGATCTCTTGTTTTTAAATCCCTTCTCATGGGTGGAGGAGGGTTGTGTGTGGAAGGCAGAGAGGATGTGTGGGAGGATGGGACCGCCACTGAAATAGCCCCACTGGAGCATGCAATACCAAGGTCAAGGTGGACTCCTTCATCCCTAGGAAAACAAAGCAGGGAAAGTGCAAAAAAAATCTCAATAGAAAGGAAATTTGGCCTGAAGCCTTCCTAACCTTAAAGGCAGCTCCACTCAGTACATCAGCCTTTTTTGTCTGATCTTGTGTGGAGCACTTCAAAACAAGTTCCCCAGATCTCCCACCATAGCAAAGCTGGGACTACCCCGGGCTTGATACATTCCAACCTGGCCT